AAAAAAAAAAAAAAAAAAAAAAAAAAAAAAGAAAGGAAAAAGAATTACAGGGCTTACATAGTTGGAATTAATTGAAAAAATATATATTTTACCATAAAGTAATTATTATGTAACATTTGAACATTATCATGGTGAGCTACTTAATGTTTTATTTTATAGCAGAATAAACAGTTTTATTCCTGATTATTATTTGCATACACATGTGTTTGTATTTTTCTCATTCTTTAAAAGGAAATCATTGGTGGGATGTTGGATCTAGAACCAAGACTTTGGAGGAAGGGCATCCAAGAAAGCTTCGAGGATCAGAGGAAGAAAGCCCTGCAGTTTGCTCAGTGGTGGAAACCATATGACTTCACCAAAAGTAAAAACTGTTGACGTGTAACTCTCATATTTAATTTCCTCTTCAGACTTTTTTTTTCTGTTTAATTTCCACTGCATCTCACTAAACAATGGAGCCTCAGGTCTTACGAAAAAAAAATAACAACAGCAGGCTGCTCTGGGTCCCTGACACCCGGGCACTGTTGGATTGTGTTGTTCTTTTCCCTCACCTTCTGGAGACTTCATTTTAGTGACCGTGGAGTAACAGTAAATTTACTGGATGACCTGCTCATATTCCTGGTCTGTACCCTCTTGTTCGTGTTCTAAATAAGTTAATCTAGAGACATGTTTCTGAAAGGATAGCTAGGAAGCCTAGCAAATTGGTTCTGCTACAAGGTAGTTAAGTTTATTGCTTGGCTACTTTGTAGTTTAGAATAAGCTTATATATTCAATAGTAATTGAAATTAATTTTTAAGGAATTGTATACAAGAGCTCTCAGTTTTCTACCAATACCATGTAGTATCACTACTATTTGCTTTGTTAAAGGAAAAAGAATATCCCAAGAATATTAAATAAGTGGTAATAAAAATATGAGTCACAATTCAAATTTCTTTTTGTTTCTGGAGTTTTACATATTCTTTGAGTTTTAGTGATTTTATGAACAACTGTTCTATATAACCCAATTTATAGTTGTTTGGGGGTTTGTTTGAAAGTTAAAATTTGTAGCCAAATCATTATTATTGGTTTATATTGATTATTACAAAAATCTTAAATAATGAGAGTATTCTAAATGTCAGGAGCATGTCTCTTGACCTTGATTTATTTTCACTTTTAAAAATTGTACAGCTTGATGGGTTTCATTTTGGCAGATTTGTACATGCACATACATTTCATCTTTCCCAATCACCCCCTTGCCTATTTGATTTTAGGTGCTTAATTTTTGTTGTTCTCGATACTTGGTGTTGGAGAAAGCCCTATAACTTCCAAAATGTGGCTATACTGTGAGAGTGTGCCTCTTTTTTTCTTTATGTGAAAGATATGGTTGTGGTAACTTTTTTTCAACATGTTGTCAGGAAGCTACATGTAAACATTTTGTCATGAAATGTTGAATGCTTAAGGGTCAGTGTGAAGCATATTCCAGAATAATTCATACCTCTGTAACCATTCTTTTTTAATATCAGCATCTCATTATAGTCTTAACTGTGTTAAAAATGTATATTTTTCACAAATAAGTTAAAGTTTAATGGCATTTGATTTTCAATGTTTATAAATACCATTTGAGTGTGTGCGTGTGTGTGTGTGTGTGTGTGTGTGTGTGAGTGAGTGAGTGTGTGTATGTGTATACATGTATATCATATAGAAGCTTGGTAGCATTGTGTTTATTGATGTTTTCAAACTCTTGGCTTTGTCCTAGTGTCTTAAATGAATCTGTAACATTCACTTATTTAGTCAGTAAGTTAATAAAACATTTTATTGTAGAGCACTATGTCACATGCTGACAGCGAAAAAATTAAAAGTACTTTTTTCATCTTAAATAATTTTATATTTTAGTAGAGAAAGACGTGTATATAAATAATTACAGCATAATATACATTCTTTCTAAATTTTTTATTAGTATATATTTGTGATACATAATGAATGTATTCTTTAAGGGGATGTTGCTACGTACACGTATTGGATCGTGATTCTTTCTGAATGTGAGATACGTACCTGCTATATTTGAGTACCACGCTGGACTGCTGTACACCCTGTCTTCATTATGATCTTCCCATATTACTGAGAAAATAGAAGCAAACAGAAGGCAATTTTTGCCACATCAGTTTACTTGCTTTTATACCCATGTGCTCTATTTTTCCTTTTGCTAACTGTAGATAAATTACTTTGTTGTTCTTATCAGGAGCCAATACACTTATTTATGAACTGAATTTCACCCTTTTTTACCTACTCACTTGCCTCCATTCTCTCTATATTATTTTTTCCTTCTTTTTACAAGATTATTAGCATACAAAACACTATTATGTATTCACAACAAACCCTACATCACATTCCTCTGTAGCCATTTCTCCAGTTGAAAACCAACTCATTTTTAATATGTCTGCTTCCTTTCTTTCATCTTCCTGTTCTCAGCAGTTAGATGTCATCCTGGTACCTTCTACCACACTGTTCAGGTGAATGCTATCATTGACTTTTCACATTGGCAAATTCAGCGATCAGTGCTCGGTACTTATCTTACCAAACCTGTCAACATATAACTAGCATATTTGTTTACTTCTTCTCTTGCAATATTTTCTTTTATTTGCTTTTAGAACACTGTGTCATATTGATTGTCTTTCTGTTTTTTTCCTTTGGTAGCAGGGATTGAACTCCGCTCATTGGCGCTTGCAAGGCAGGCTGCAGAACCACTGAGCTAAATCCCCGATCCTTTCTTCTTTCTTAACTAGCTGCCTTCTAATCCCCTCTGTTGGATTTCTCTTCATATATTCAAGCTTTAAATGCTAAAATGACCATTGTTAAAACTTATTTATTTTACTATATTCTTAAAGCAATATCATTGAAATGGTCTTAGATAACACTTTTTTTTCTCATTGAATTTATTGGTACTTTTTAAGTATACAGTACAGTTACATTTATCATTGGGATCTTGTGTGTACCTTTACATGACAGATCTTGGTTCTCATTTTATCCCCATACCTCTGCCCTCCCTTTACCCCTCCCACCTCTCCTATTTACAGAGTCTTTCTTTCCATTTTTTTTCCCTTTCTCATAGTTTTTCTTTTCCCTTACCCTTTGTACTTCCCCTACACCTCTAGCCCTTTTCTTCCTATTTCACATTGTCAGTTATACAATTTGGATCTTACTTACACTTACAAATTTTCACACCAGAAAAACTTTGGTATTTATACATGTGTCTTTTTTATTTTACTTGAGTATGGCCTTAATATGCATCCATTTTCCTATGAATGACTCTAGTTTCTCATGCTTTATGGCTGAGTAGTACTCCATTTTATAGAAAAAACACATCTTTATCTAGTCTCCAATTGATGGGCAATTGGGCTATTTCCAAGTTTTAGCTATTACAAACTGGGCCGCTATAAACATGGGTGTGCATATATCACTGTAGTGTGATTCTTTTAATTCTATTGGGAAGATACCCAGCAGAGTGATAGCTGGATCAAGTGGAACCTCTAATCCTAGTTCTTTGAGGTGTCTCCACATAATGATTTCAACAGTGGTTGCACCAGTCTGCACTACCACCAAAAATGGACAAGGGTTCCTTTCTCCCCACAGCCTGCCAAAATTTGTTATTGGTTGATTTCTTGATAGCAGCCATTCTTTCTGTGATGAGGTAGAATCTCTGTTGTTTTCATCTGCTTCTCTCAGATAATCAGTGATATTGTACATGTTTTCATATATTTATGTGCCACTTTTACTTCTTTGAGAAATGTCTATTCCTTTCAGTTACCCATTGTTTAATCCAGTCTTTATATTTGAGGGGCTTGATTTTTTTGAGTTCTTTATATATTCTAGATAATAGTCCTTTGTCTGAGGAGCAGCTGGTAAATATTTTTCCCCCATTGTAGGTTGTTTCTTAGCTCTCTTGATGGTTTCTTTTGCAGTGCAAAAGCTTTTTAACAAGAAGAGATCCCAGCTGTTGATTCTTTGTGCTAGTCCCTGTGCTACTGAGGATTTGTTCATAAAGTCTTTTCCTATGACAAAGTCTTAGAGAGTTCTGCCTAACTTCTAACAAGTTTAGTGTTTCTTTTTTAATATTTAGATCTTTAATCCACTTGGATTTTAGTTTAGTGCATGAAAGATAATGGTTTAGTTTTAATCTCTGGCAGGTTTAAATCTAGTTTTTCCAACACCATTTATAAAAGAGGCTGTCTTTCCTCCAGTAAGGATGGTTGGCTCCTTTGTCAAGATGAGGTAGCTGAATACATCTGGAGTTGTTTCTGTATCTTCTAATCTATTGTACTGATCCTCAGGTCTTTTTCTTTGCTAGTGCCACACTATTTCTATCACAGTGGCTTTGTAATATAGTTTCAAGTTGGGGATTGTGATACCCCGTGCCATGTCTGCATTGCCTAGAAATGCCTTTGATATTCTAAGTCTCTTCTGGTTCTAAATGAATTTTTGGATTATTTTCTCTAGTTCTGTGAAATATACTGTTAGGATTTCAGTCGGGATTGCATTAAATCAGTTTGGAAGTATGGCCATCTTCACTATATTGATTGTTCCTACCCAGGAGCAGGGGATATCATTCCATTTTCTTATATCCTCTTCCATCTGATTTTTTCAGAGTGCTTTAGTTTTCAGTATAGAGGTCTTTTGCTTCTTTTGTTAGATTGATTCCTAGATTATTCTTTTTTTCTATGCTATTGTGAAAGGAATTTTTTCCCTAATTTCTCTCTCAGTGATTCTGTTACTTGTGTACAAGAAGGCTATTGATTTTTGAGTGTTGAGCTTGTTTCCAGCTTAGAAGCCTTTTGGCAGAGCTTTTTGGGTCTTCTATGTAGAGTATCGTATTGTCAGCAAATAATGACAGTTTAACTTCTTCCTTTCCTATCTTTATTGCTTTAATTTCTTTCTCCTTTCTAAGTGCTGTAGCTAATGTTTCCAGAACTATGTTGAACAAGAGTGGTGATAGTGGGCATCCTTATCTTGTTCCTGATTTTGACTTGAAGGTTTTCAGTTTTTGGCCCTTTAGTATGATGTTGGTTGTTGGTTTTCATCATTAGCCTTTATCAAGTTGAGATAAAGACCTAACTATTCCAGTTTTCTGCGGGTTTTCATCATGAATGGCTGTTGAATTTTGTTAAATGCTTTTTCTGCATCTATTGAGATGATCATATGGTTTTTGTCCTTGACTATGTTAATATAGTATATTACATTAATTGATTTACATATGTTTAACCATCCTTGCATTCCTGAAATAAATCCGTCTTGGTAAGGGTGTATGATCTTCTTGATGATCCTCTGTATTCTGTTTGCAAGGATTTTTGCATATATGTTCATTAAGGAGATTGGCCTGTAGTTCCTTTTTTTGTTTGGGTCTTTCCCTGGTTTGGGCATCAATGTAACACTTGGTTCCAGGAATGAATTTGAAAGTATTGCTTCCCTTTCAATTTCATTAAAAAGTTTAAAGTGTATTGGCAGTAATTGTTCTCTAAATTTCTTGTAGAATTCAGCAGTGTATCTATCAGGACCTAGGCTTTTCTTTGTTGGTAAAGTTTTTATTATGTTCTCAATTTCACTGATTGTAATTGGGGTGTTTAGAATTTTTTTATCTTCTTCGTTCAACTTTGGTAATTCATAACTGTTCAGAGATTTGTCCATTTCTTCTGTATTTTCCATTTCATTGTAGTACAGGTTTTTGAAGTAGGTCTTGATGATCCACTGGATTTCTGCTGGAACTATTGTGATTTTACCTATTTTGTTCCTAATTGCATGGATCTGAGCCTGCTCTTTCCTTTTTTGATAAGGTTGGCTAGTGATTTTATTTATTCTTTCAAAAAATCAACTCTTCGATTCATTGATTTTTTTTGTATCATTCTCTTAATTTCTATTGCATTGATTTCTGCTCTGATCTTTATAATTTCCTACCTTGTATGAGCTTTGCACTTTTCTTACTCTTCTTTTTCTAGAAGCCTAAGATTCATCATAAAGTTGTTGTTTGAGCTCTCTCTGTTTTTTTAGTGTGGGCATTCATTGCTTTGAATTTTCCATGTAGAACTGCTTTCATTGTGTCCCATAGTTTCCTCTATGTTGTATTGGCATTGCCATTTATTTGTAAAAACTGACTAATTTCTTCTTTAATTTCCTCTGTGGCCCATTGATTGTTCAGGAGAGTATTGTTCAATTTCCATGTGTTTGTGAAGTTCTTATGGTTTCTTATGCTGTTGATCTCCAACTTAATTTCTCTATGATCTGGTAATAACTTCTTTTCCATTGCATTTATTTAAACCTGCTCTATGAGCTAGTATGTGGTCTGTTTTGGAGAATGACCCATGTGCACCTGTAAAGAATGTATATTCTGATTTAGTGGGGTGGAACACTCTGTGTATGCCTATTAAGTCCATTTGTTCAAAAGCTTGGTTCATTTCCAGTATTTCATTGTTTGTCTAGATGATCCATCTATTTGTGACAGTGGGGTATTTAGGTCCCCCACTACAATTGTATTAGCGCTTATTTGGATTTTCA